GTGCCACCATGTTGTCCCCTCTGTCCCACAGACCCCCAGTGGTACCCGGCGAGACAGTCCCTGCGCCTCGACCCCAGTGAGTGTCACCCCGGGGAGGGTCCCCAGGTGTCCCCAGGTGTCCCCAGGCTGTCCCCAGGTGTCTCAGATGTCCCCAGGTGTCTGAGGTGTCCCTGTCCCCAGAGGGTCGCTCGCTGAAGGATGAGGATGTGCTGCAGTCACTGCCCGTGGGCACCACAGCCACGCTCTACTTCCGGGACCTGGGGGCTCAGATCAGCTGGGTCACGGTGAGGGACTGTCCCCACAGCCACCCTGTCCCCTCTGTGTCCCCTCTGTGTCACCCTGTCCCCTCTGTGTCCCCTCTGTCACCCCCTGTGTCCCCCACGGCCACGCTCTACTTCCGGGACCTGGGGGCTCAGATCAGCTGGGTCACGGTGAGGGACTGTCCCCACGGCCACCCTGTCACCCCCTGTGTCACCCATGTTCACCCTGTCACCCCCTGTGTCACCCACATTCACCCATGGTCACCCTGTCCCCTCTGTGTCACCCCTGCCCCTTCTGTGTCCCCCTGTGTCACCCACTTTCACCCTGTCCCCTCTGTGTCCCCCCGTCACCCCCTGTGTCCCCCCTGTCACCCCTTGGGGGTGTTGAGCAGGTGTTCCAGGTGTCCCTGCCCCCCGTCCCAGGTGTTCCTCACCGAGTATGTGGGGCTGTTTTTCATTTACCTGTCCCAGGTGTCCCAGCTGTCCCTGATGTCCCTGTCCCTGCAGCTGTTCCTGACAGGGGCCACTGCTCATTTATCTGCTGTTTGAATTTCGGGGCCACTGCTCATTTACCTGTCCCAGGTGTCCCTGTCATCCCTGTCCCCTGTCCCAGGTGTCCCAGGTGTCCCTGATGTCCCAGGTGTCTCAGGTGTCCCTGATGTCCCTGTCCCTGTCCCCTCTGCAGGTGTTCCTGACGGAGTACGCGGGGCCGCTGCTCATTTACCTGCTGTTCTATTTTCAGATACCATTGTTCATTTACCTGTCCCAGGTGTCCCAGGTGTCCCAGGTGTCCCAGGTGTCCCTGATGTCCCTGTCCCTGTCCCTGCAGGTGTTCCTGACGGAGTACGCGGGGCCGCTGCTCATTTACCTGTCCCTGATGTCCCTGTCCCTGTTGTCCCAGGTGTCCCAGGTGTCTCAGGTGTCCCTGATGTCCCTGTCCCTGTCCCTGCAGGTGTTCCTGACGGAGTACGCGGGGCCGCTGCTCATTTACCTGCTGTTCTATTTTCGGGTGCCGTTCCTGTACGGGCCCCGCTACGACTTCACCGCCAGCCGGCACCGCGTCGTGCAGTGAGGGCTGGGGCTGGGGGGGTCCCGGGGGG